AAAAAAAAAAAACGGTAACCTGGTTGCCGAGTTCACGAAGTGAATTGGCTTGTTTTACAACGTCCTTGCCACGCGACGAAAACCCACTCCCGATGGCAAACACCGGGGGGGGGCGGCTTGTTTTACAACGTCGTTGCCAAGCGACGAAAACCCAACCCCGATGGTAAACACCAGGGGTGGGGGGGGGGCGGGTTGGGAGGGTTGGAGTTGGAGCAACGGCAGCGGTTTGTTTCAGGTGTTCATTGAGTTGTCGATCTTGGGGGAGGGGGTATTCGTCAATCCTAAGTGGTATGCCCTTGTTGTGAGACTGTAGTGCTTGATGTTTCGATGCTTGTAGTGCTTGTTAATGTTGAGTATCTCTCACGCCCGGTTGGGGGGAGGAAGAGCAGGGAGTGCCACGAGCACGACAGCTGACGTGGAGGCTCCGCACAACCATTCTCTGGTCGTACTACCCAACGCACACCTATGTGCAGGGCACCTGAAACGGTCATCTTGTCTACAGATCCGACTACATACGCACTCATACGAACAGGGGGTGTGGGGGGGTATGCGCTACTCTACCGCCGACGAACGCTGCACGTTTGTACCACCTGCGGGACTCGCAAGTTCCGGTTTTATACAAGAGACCATGCTTGCTATCTACTCAACATAGTCTCGCTCGACAAAGAAACGAACCGTGTTTACTCACTCAACAGACTGACTACTGCCGTGCTGATTGATACAACGCGTATTGTTCTATCGAAACTCAACCGCAACAAGAGAGCAATCTGGTCCTCTGGTAGACACAGCACCGGATTTTGCTGCTGCAGAGCTGCCGCTGATGATGCCGTTGCCGAACACACTCAGAGGAAGGTTTTGGTCATGGTTGAGTGCTCAATGTTGCCACCGCGCGCTCCACGTCGCGCCTTATCGTGCATACAAAACGACACCGCTGGTGTACGATGACTTGGGAGCCGACTGCAACGCAATCAGAGATTCTCAGCGGCAAGAAGGCCACACCTAGCGACAACACCAAGAAGCTGCGCCTGCAAGGCGGCCGTGGCTTGCTTGCCCAGCAGCCCTTGCCGGCGATATCCACATGTTTCGAGGTGCGGCAACCAGGTGCACACAATGCACGGACGAGCCATTACCCAAGACACAAGCATGAGACGATAGGGGAGGGCATGGAGACAGCAGTATAATGCACACATGAACCGATGGAGCTTTCGTGTGTACAGATGGCGCGTGAAGGGTGTGAGCGGCGTTGTGAAAGGTCAAGCGGTCAAGTTGATGCAAAGAGCGCTGTCCGTCCTCCTCTCCCGGAACAAACTCTTGCACGTCCAAACCACAAGCCTGGTCTACCCACGTGTAGAACCTCTCACATCGGCTCAGGTCGTGCATCAAGCAGCTTCAGGAGAGTCATGGTCTTCTTGTCCAGGACCTTCCCCGACCGCCCCTTCTTGATCTTGCCTGCCTTGGCTGCCATCATCATCCCGCGTCTGCAGCCAACATCCCCCGCGGTCCTACTCCTCTCTAACCGATTACCAGCAGCGCATACTCCAGGAAACACACTTCGGGAAACGGAAGAAGCAATACTACCTCCCGATAGGGTGTTGACAGAGGGTCGCAACATGGTCTCGTTGTCGTAGGCCGTGTACTCTTATCCCCAAGAAAGGGAAGGCAAAGGGCCAGTCTCCGTCTCCGGGGGGGGCCGACAGAGGGCAACACGCATTACCCCGTGGGGCGTCTGCCTATTTTTTTGAAAGACCAAGAGAGCACGAAGATAGCATGTCGATGTTGGTCTTGGTTCCGCCTTCCGTCGTTGTCCCGCCGCTGTCCGCCCCCACGGAGCTGCGGAGACATCTAGGATTGACAGAGGAATATCGAGAGGCGACAAGCAAGCAGGTGAGGCTTGCCAGTGTGTAGAATCGTATTGAGCTGCTGTACCATTTGCCGAAGGTTGCGAAGCAGGAGGTACCGCATGTTGCATAAGATACGACTCCCCCCCAGACCGAGCCAAGGCTCTCCATTTCTATCCTATGTTACCTATACAGTTTTCTCCACTGCTGATGAAGTAGAGAGCATGCCACAGCAATCAAATCACACGGCTTCGGAAAGCTCCCGACGAGACGGTTCCGTTGCTGCCGTTTCGACACTCGGTACCGTAACTGCTGTCTCGCTGCAGAGTACTACTTGACGTCTGCAAATCGGTCCTTAGGTGTGGGTGGTATCTCGTGCAACCTGAACCTTGTGTCGAATGCTGTCGTGATTCGTGACTCATGAATCATTCGTGACGTGACCCGTGGAAGTACGATATTTACTCTACAGCAGTAGTGGTCTGCGCCGCAAAGGTTGCGACTTATTTGAGTACAATCGATCTGTAAATCCTCTTTCGTTTGCAACAGCACATGCATACAAGAGCTCTCGACGTATGTACTTGTATGGAAAAGTGATTCTTAGTTCAAAAGCATGAACCTGGAGTACAGACTACGGTATAAGTTTTTCGTCTTGACTTCAAACCAGCGCTCACTGCACTATATATATATATTTATATATTTTTTTTCTCCCATCATTGGACTCTGTCGTCTGCCCCTCTGGCCCCTATCCTCCACTTCTACTAAATGGCTAGACGACCCAACCGGGGGTCACATAGGAGGGGGGGGCTGGACCCCCTCCTGCGGTTCCTGCCTGAGGTATTTTTATCGCGAGAAGGGTACAGCAATCCCTTCCCTCGCGACTTTCGAAGTCGATTATGGTTTACTAACAACGAGCACAGCAGCGCGTCGCTTCTATCCTAGACCAGGATTTATTTAGTGAGAAAAAAACTCACTCTGCCGTGACTCGAACCCATGACCTGGCCCTTAGCAGGCTGCGAGGTTACAATAATGTAAATACAATATTACCGTTTACTCCGACCCGTGGTCACACAGAAGAGCCCCTCTCTACCCTCCCCTCCTGCGGTACTTTGCCTTCGATTTTTAATGCGAGAAGAGTTCAGCACTCTCTTCCCTCTGTGTGCACACGAACTAGCGCTGTCCACTAGGCCAGGAGCGGAAGCGAGAGAAAAACTCACGTTGCAAGAAAAGTTCGCTTACGCCGGGATTCGAACCCCTGACCTAACCTCTAGCAGGTTTTCGGGGGTACCAACTAGACCACCGGGGCGACCGGCGGAGTATGTGCGCGACAGAACAGGGGATACACACGACCGCCATCCCCGCCCAGCATCTACAGTATGCAACTGCATCAATCAATCAGATTGGTAAAGGTGGGGCAATAGGACAAAACAATAAGCACACCCTACGAACCAACTAACCCAACACCTTCCTTCTACACCTTCCCACCATTACGTACAGAGAGATGCACAAGATGGCTACCAAACCGAGCCTGCTACCCACAGGGGATATATCGCTGTGTGCTGCTCGGGAAAATGTGGAAATACGGGTAGCCTGCGCCGACGCTCCATAATGGATTCATTGCTGGTCTATCTTAAGACTCTTTTCTATAGATATAGATGCATTCGTAGTGTAATTGTATGAAGCAATAACAACTATTAATAAAAGTGTGAAAAGATTTTCTGTGTGACCCTCCTCTTTTGTGACCCCGGCTGATACGTCAGGTAAATATATACGCCGAAAGGCCTGTAAACCGGCGCTAGCAGAGATGGGACGGACATGTTCTCACAAAGCAGTGTTTTGTGCTTTTGACCGCACTGAGACTGACGTATTTTAATAGGTCAGCCGGTTAGCGCGGTCGATGCTAATAACAATAGTCACACACGTTCAATGGCACTGAGACTTATGTCTTTTCATAGGCCAGCCGGTCAGCGCGGTCGATGCTGATAATAAAGACACGCACACTTTCGGTCACAGGTTCCCGATTGTGGCCTTTAGAACATTTTCTGTTTTCAACCGCACTGAGACTGACGTATTTTCATTGGTCAGCCAGTTATTGTGGTCGATGCTAACAAGAAACACACACACACACAGGTCTACTTCCTATTGGTTTTGGTGGAAGTTGGTCGATCAGTTACCCGTGGCGTTTGAACACGTCGCGAGTTCGTACTGACAGAAAGGGAGCTAGCTCGAAGGTGAACCGCCCCCGAATCCTGTGGGTATTTTTTTAAGCCTTGAGGCGAAGCAAGGCTGTTTTATCGCCAAAGTTTCCTTGCAGAATTCCTCGTGGACCGAGTGGCGGTAGCTACGATTGACTGATTTGTGCTTTTACCAAGGCCACCATACGTTGAAAAAGCAGCAGTAAGGAGGATAGATCTAGACGGGTTGAAAGTTCCCGCACAGCGGTTTACGTTACTTGCTGCTCAATCTTCGAGGGCGGACCATGGTGTTAGAATCGTTTTTTTCAATGCTTCGAGTTGCAGATGGGTTGACCGCCATCTGCAAGTAGACGCATTGAAAAATCGATTCTAACACCACGTTCCGCCCTCGAAGATAGAGCAGCAAGTGAGGCAAACCACTGCCCGGGAACGTTCAACCCGTCTGGATCTTCCCTCCTTACTGCTCCTTTTTCAACGTATGGTGGCCAGGTAAAGGCACAAATCGGTAGTCGTAGCTAGCGCCAAACGTCTTGGCCCACGAAGAATTCTGCAAGGGATTTTTTGCGCCAAACAAATGATTCGGAGGCGGTTCACCGTCGAGCTACAATAGCTCGCTTTCTGTTAGTACGAATTCGCGACGTGTTCAAAAGCGGTGGGTTACTGATTGACCGAATTGCACCAAAGTCATTAGGTTGGGTCGCCAGTAGTGGGGACAACGACGATGGTGGTGGCGTCATTGGTAGCGACGAAGGAGGAAGGACGGGAACGGGAGGACGGGGACGACCAAAACAGCAATGGAGGAGAGAAGCATGGAGAGGAAGAGAGGACAAGCTCCGAGCCAGATGACCGTCCTCAAAACAAACGATGCAGGGCTAGAGAAGAACTCCCGCAAAATGGCTGTAATAATGACGATGATAGTGATGGTTAATGTCAGGAGGATGGTGGTGAAAGCACTCCAAAACGAACGCGAGCTCAAGGTAGCAGCGTTGGTTGACACGTACAGTTTTCCTCTGTTGCTACAATTCTGTCTCTAATCCGGAGAATAGCTTAGCCTCCCCCATGACGTCCCCTCACGGGGTCCCAGTTCATGGCCTTGAGAAGTGTTTTGTGTTTCCAACCAAACGGAGACTGGCGTCTTTTCATTGGTCAGCCGGTTGGCGCGGCCGATGCCAATCATATTGACACACACACACACACAACAGTCGAGAAAGTGCAAAACCAAATTTCTCCCCTGACGCGCTTGCTTTCGCTCCCTGCGAGCAGCAGATTCGATTCACTGAATGCTAGATGCATGTAGCGGGGGGATCGGTTCTTGACATTTCGTCGCACCCCTGTGCGATGACTCCAATCGTTGCGACCACCCGGATACCTGTTGTGCGCGTTTTGTGTCGCCACCTGTTGTGGTTCCGGTGCACAAGGGCTTCATGTGGCTTCATGCTTGTTAGTGATCATCTTGTTGTCATGTTGGGGATTGCAGCTGCCTCGGACGCAGGGTTCGGTTAACTTGGAGCGAAAACGCGGGGAGGCGGAGCACCAACAGCAGCGGAGCTTGGGCAGGAATTAAGAGATGGTGAGCCCATCGCAGCAGTATGAGAGTCCAATTGCACCCGTTCCAGCAGGGGGGGGGGGGGGGGGGGGGGGGGGGGGGGGGGGGGGGCTAAAGGTNGCCGGGACGGAGCACGCCGGGTTCTCACCGGACCAGGCTCTCACATCACCAAGCGTGAAGCGCCGTGAGATTTTCGGCGAGTCGCATGAAGGGTGCGCTGCATCCTGCTAAGGGTGTCCGGCATCTTGTTCTTACTTCCTTGCGTACGGATGACAGCTGCGTATGACTTAATTTACTTTCTGGTGCGCTTTCACTTCCAGAGACAGTTGTAAGCACTGTGTAACTGCCTCGAGGGTGCTTGACCATTTTAACACAACGTGGTGCGATCATCCCCCTTGCGCGGAGTGAGGTTCTCGACCCCGCACAACATGATCTACTCTACCACCAGTATGGTTACCGCCAAAAAAAAAAAACGGAGGTAAACAAAAAAAACGGTAACCTTGTTGCCGAGCTCACGAAGTGAATTGGCTTGTTCTACAACGTCGTTGCCAAGCGCCGAAAACCCAATCCCGATGGCAAACACCGGGGGGGGCGTTCCAGCAGGGCAAGGGAAAATATGGCAGCAGGCTCTGTTGATTCAAGAGGTAGACTATCTGTCGTCCAAGTCGACCCGTTCTCTCACTCTATCTTTCAGCTAAAGAGTTGGCGTATCCCCAGAGAGGAGGAAGAGTTTCGTCTCTCTGCCGTGGTTCCGGGAGACCCCGTTTGAACTCTATGTGTCGTGAGGCTTGCACGTGCAGCAATCCCTCGAGACCCTGATGGCTCAGTCGTTGAGAACAGCCGTGCTTGTTGTTGCCTTGGCTGTGTCTGGTACATAGTGTGAACGAAATGGAGCTGCGCCTCCTACAGGCAAGGGCTGTTACGACTTACCCCCTGACTGATATGTCTATCCTAAGGAGTTTCAGCTCCCGCCATAACCCAGTCAACCTCTCCCTATGAACCACGGTTTTTAGATCCTTTCCTATCCGATAACCCTTGCGCGCGAATGCACACCAACGTGTCAGAGATGTTTCCCACAAACGGTAGTCTGCGCAGGCTTCGCCAAGAAGAATAGGAAGTATACTGGATGAAGTAGAATCGACTAAATTGGGGCTAGGGTTAGGATCTGCGTGCCCCCCTGCCTGGTTCTTTGTGCAAGCAGTCCCCCACGAATCCGCCCCGCCGTTGTGAACACGGCAACTCTACCCGGTGTCTTGTGCCATTCACTCCAATACCCAAACCCTCCCCACCCCGGGGCGCGTCCGACGCGTTCGTATTTTTATGTTTTTGGACAGGCGTGCTGCTTGATCTGCGTGAACGATGAGCCCGTTCCGGGCTCGAAGCTCGACGCCTTCTATGAAAACCCAAACAAGTTCCAGATCGGCATGATGGAGGCACCGTGCAAGAACTGCCCCTGTGAGTTGTTGCGGTTTGCTGGCGATGATGAAGGTTGACGGCAGCACCACATCCCTCTGGGACCGATATGAAGAGCTCAAGGACCCAGCAAGCAGAAACCATCACGGTGCCGAAAATGGCGGTGTTGAAACCGCCTTGTCGAGAGACAGCTTTTCCGAAAACGTATCGCTTGATCATTACACACTCTTCGCCGTTAGAGTGATCGAATTGATAGATGGAGGGAATGATCAAAAGGGAATGAATGGCCGGTTTGATCATTGGGGTTTAGCGATCTCCTATTTGATAATGTTTTTATTTAGTATTCTGGATAGATGTTGGCCACCATATGCCAAACAGGGACGGGAGGGACAGGATCAATACATGAAATTCCTGTGCATCATATGAGAGAACTAGGTGGATAAACGTACAGAGCACCGTTCGAGGCCTCTTTGTTAGGGATTGGAACGGTGAGTCTTCTCGAATGAGCTCCATGGTCAACGGTTAGTGGTCGAACGACAAGAATGCTACGTACCCCCGCTCTTGACCTAGCTCTCTCCCTCCACGTGACCTTTTTTTCTTCTCCTTTGGGACAGGGTGTACCTTCGGCTGCCTGTGCATGTGCTGCGCGCAGTTCATCGTGAGAAAGAGGGCCCTCGACGGTAATCTCGCCAACTACGTCTGCTGTCAGGGCTACTTCCCGAGTGAGACGTGGTGCTCAAGAGTACCGGACAAGGAAAATTTGCTGCAATCGTGAACTGTTTTTTTGTAGACATGGAATTGTACGCCTGCTCAAGAGTGTCGGACAAGGAAGATTTACTGCCATCGAAAACTGTTTATATAGAAAAAGATGAACGATTGTGGGTTTGGGTTGGGCTTGTACCACGTCGAGAAAGATCTGTACGCTCGCGTTTTCAAGCCTTCAATAAGATGATCAGGATTTTCTACAAGTTTTTTCTGCGTGTGGCAAATTCATATCTGTCAGGGATACGTCTGATGTCAGCAAGAGCACTGCTGTTGTCATCCAAGTGACCTTTGGTGCACCGCAAGTATTGTTTGTTGATAACTCGTACGGTTTTCATCAAGTGTGCAGTCTGCTGGGGGCTGCTAGGCACGGCCTGTTGTCACCAAAGCCCGGCTCCTCGTGCACGTATCAGTATCATGACATGGCAGTTTCTTCCGCGCATCAGCGGGACAGAATGTTGGATGAATTTATTCGCGGTAGGTCCCTCCCTGTTGTGGCTTCCTTCGACTCCAATGCGACGTGTCGCTGAACCTATCACTTTTTTGTGTGTTTTTCGACGCGAGCTCGCCGCTTCCCCAAGCGACGTGCGTGTAGTCCCCCCCCCCCCCTCAGCTTGGCGATCTCAGCCGGCTGCATACTGGAAGTGTGTGACATGAGGTTGATGCGGCGCTCGATCCTCTCCCCTGTCGTTGAGGACAGCGTGCGCATCTTCATCTGACACCCTGGCGGCTTGGTCGTATCTTGATGTTCAACGCCCTTGCTCCGTCGTCGATGGTGATAATGGCAGTGTGCTGCTTCGAGCCGGGAGGCTGTGGCGAGAGGGATTGTCCGTGCTTCTGCTTGTGTATGGAGTCCTTCGCCTGCACCAGTTGCGCTGTGAGCTCTAGCAGGTAAATGGCACAAACGATGGTGCTTCGAGCATGGCTTAAGAGGGGCAGCTTGACTCCAAGCTGACCTCAATCTTCTGGACAGAGCAAGCCTAGTGCTGCTACAATTTGGTTTGCATCGCGTTTGCAGGCATAATTTGTTATACCCCCTCGTGTGTTTCCATGTCGCTTGTTTGGACGGCAGTCTCGCCTCGGGTTGTTCCCCTGCCGCCTGCTCCTAACTGCTCACCGGTGGGTGTTGCCTTGCATTATCGCTAAAACGAGCTTGTTTCCAGTAGCCCGGGGTTGCCGAAGGACCTTAATTGGTCCCCGGAACTCCCCCCAACCAGCGGGTGTCGAGCGGGTGTGTGCACTGTTGTGTTGTTATCCTCTGCCGACCCCCCCCCCCCCCCCCCC